GGCCAATTTACAGTCAAACTTCATAATTTTTTATCCACATCAACATTTTAGACTCATATGTATCATTCGATCAAGTTTGGACCATAATTCCTCAAGAAATTTGATCAAATCTCCAAAAGGGCAAAATGGTCAAAATTAGGGTTTTGACTAGGAAAGGGCAATTTCTGATTTTTTTTGACCTAGCAAATGATCAATTGGTTTAAGGCATGATCTCAAGAGTCCAATTACATCATTTTAACCTAATGACATGGTTTAAAACATTGCTCAAGTCCAATAGATTGACAGATGAATTTTCAGTCAACTAATCAAAAGTCCATTGTATACTGAAAAGTCAAACTTTGACTTTTTGGTCAAATTCAAATGCCAAAGATCACAATTCATCAAAACATGTCAAAATATGAAACGTATTCATCAAGAAATCCAAAATTCAAAATTTCATTTTGAAAAGTGAAAATTTCTAAACTTAGAAATTTTTCTAAGTGTTGGAAATTTCTTATTTTTTCACAACTTTGAGCAAAATTTTCACCATGATGCAAGATAATTCAAGAGAAACTTTCAACATGAAAGTTGTAGATCTCCATGAAATCTACAACTTTTATTTACACAACTCCTTCCAAATGTTCATGGATCTCAAGTTATAATTTTAAGAACATGTGGTCATGAAACAAAACACTTAGTGAAATTTTGCCCTAATTTGGTCAGGATTTTGACCCAACTTCATGGCACTTTTTCATATAGTTCCAAGGATAATATTCAAAATCAATTCAAATATGGGTTGTATAGAACATTGCAAGCTTTCCAAAATGTCCAAGAACTCCTTGAGATCATTCTTGAGTAGGGAGAATCAAAGAGATGAAGTTAGGGTTTTATCACTTGAATTACAAGGCATTTTGTGATTAACAAAATTCAAATTCAAAGTTGTGCTGCATAAACTCTACTTTTCAGGCCTCAAACTTGTTAGGCACTCCATAATTAATTGCTTGCATAGCTGTTAGAGGTCTCATTTCAAGCATTCAATGCATGGACATGCTTTATATCCATTTTTGGAAGAAAGTGTACATTGCCATTTTGATAAAGTGTTTTTTTTACACAAAACTTGTTCTTGAGTCTTGCACTTGTTCTCTTCTGATCATACAAGTCATATAACTCATAAGATATGGTTTAGACACTTACAATCACCCAGCCCATGCTTGTACTACACATTGAAACTTGGTTTCCCTCTTTTCTTCAAAATCAAGTAACCTAGCCAAAAACTTATAACTTGTACTTCTGACTTGCCAATGCACAAAAGACCTTTTGCTTATATATATACAAACCATTCGCCACAAAATACACGAATGCTTAAGCCCTGAAAACACCTAGAACTTAGAATCACCAAAAACACTTCAAAACTTGTCATTTCTGAGTTTTGAAGCCAATCTTCAAATCTACTCGCGCGTTTCTTGGCCTTTTGTTTTCAAAAGCTTCTAAACAACATACACAAACAATACCAACACTTGCAGCATCACTGTAACACCTCCACCATCATCCACCATTTTCAAAAACAGAGCTTTGCACTTTGACTTCTCCAGAACTCCTCAGGCCCTTTCAGCTCAAGCTAAGCATTCCATTAGCTTCTTGGGAACTTGAGGAAGCTAACCCAACCATTGGAACTCCTTAAAAGCTTCTCAAACTTCAAACTCGATACTCTCTTTCAAGGTAAGTTTTCTAACTTTGGAACTCTTCATACATGCATCATCAATGATTTATTTGTGAACAAAACATGTAGATATCATTGCCCTAAAACTAACCATGTTCATAGTTTCCATTAATTTTACTTGAGCTTAGAGAATTTTAAGATTGGAATTTCTAAGTTTTTTAGGGTTCAGATTAGGGCCAATGAAATTCATACTTGTCTTTGATCTATAGTTTTAATGCTTTACATTTCTGAAACCGTAAGGAAATTTGCTACAAGTTTCATGTTTACAGTTTTCATTTTTGTTGAGAAATGAACAAGTTACAGTTGGTCTGGTTGGAGGTTGAAGATGAAGTGTAAGTCAGGGCGTGTTTTGTATCATATATTTATTGTTTTGCTTATGTTAACTGATGTATAGCCATCTCAGTGGTAGAAGCGCGCGCCTGTAACCTTTGGAACCTGGGTTCGAGCCCCAGCGGTACCCTTTTGGTTTTTTCATATTTTTTACAATTCTGACTTCTTTTTTTGCAGGCGTTGGGCCTCCTTGGGCCTTTGCTGTTTTTGTTTTTGCTTACTAACCCCCTTGCAGGCTACTTGCACCCCTGGCCCGGTTTTATTTTATTTTCTTATTTTTATTTTATTTATTTTTCTTAATATTTTTTCTAATATTAAAAAATCATAAAAAATATAAAAAATATTTATTTATTTTTAATCAATTAATGGATTTAAGGTTTTATTTAAAATCTTTTCTTGGTAAATTTAGGTTTAATAAATTATTTTCTTCTAGTTAATTAGGTTAAATTAAAACCCATTTTCTCATAAAAATCTAAAAATATCTATTTTCTTAACACTTACATTTTTTGTACATTTTTTCATCTTGTACATTATATTCATTTAAATTCTTGTACATTTATACCAATTCAATATGGTTGTAATAGACTAATTAGGTTTAAATTCTTGCAATCCCCATTCATAAATTTGTACACCCTCTCCCACAAGTATTGTAATAGTATAGTAACTTTAAATTCCGCAATTTATCGCTTTATATACAAATGCTAGTAATTATGGTTTGTATGGAAAGACTAAAACCAATACTTAGAAAACCCTAATTCAAGACAAAATCAATCATGAAAACAATACACTTGCACACAAGCACCCCTAGGGTAATCTACTTGGTTGCCTTTACAAAATGGTCGTATTATGCATGTGAAGTATCTTAGCAAAAACAAGCAAAAAGTATAAGATCATAGTCCCTCGATGACGCTATCTAAGTTGCCTTTCAAATGATCTTAGTCCCTAAAAGAGAATGCTAATATACCTTGCATTATTGCTAATCATGGTTATACGATGATCCACGCCTGTCCCGTTTACATCCAAAGATAGGGTTACTTACCAAATCAATGGTAAGATAACAATGTCAAAGGAAAAGAAAATGAACAAGAAAGACATTTGAGTAGGTGGAATGCTCCTAATTACTTGCTCCATTTCAAAACAAACATCCTTGTTATGTTCAAAATAAATACCCACACTTTTAAAACATCTTTCAAACTTGAAAACATTTTCAAAAGATCAAACATCTTTGTATACATTCTTACGAACGAGAATCATTACAAAGATTTCCTAAACAATGGCCTCTTTACAAAATACTTTAAAAAAACACACAAAGCATAATTTCAAACAAAAGCAAGTGATCTAGCAAGTAACTAAAAGCCAATGGAAAACCATGGATGAAAATAGTGTTAATACCCTCCCTTTTCATAATCTACCCCCCGAACTCAAGAAACAATCTCAAAGGTCTTTCCTGTGCTTTTTCACCTTTCCTTTTGGATAAAAGAAAAGTCGGTGGCGTCTCTTGCTAACCGTAACATTTGCGATAAAACGCAAAACTCTCAAGTCAGTTCTCCCACCGTATCACACACATGATATGAGCAAGCATATTAAGATGAATTTTCATTACTTGAGGGATCTGGTGAGTGAAGGCAAGCTGAGGTTGGGATATTGTCGAAGCAAATAACAAGTTGCATATTTGTTGACAAAAAGAGTCACAAATAATGTGTTCAAGAAGTTAAAGATGAACTTGGGCATGGAGAACTTGGAGCATTTGAATTAAGGTGGTGTATTAGATGTACATAGTAATTCAAATGCGTTGTATAAGTTTATGGGAGCATATTAGAGGAACGAACTTAAAAAATAAGCACTTCTAGAATGCAGGGATTGGCTTTTTTGTGGGTGTAACCGATTACGTGAAAAGACGTAACCAGTTACATAAGGCGCTTTCAATTTTCTATTTTTCTATTTTAGTAGGTGTAATCAGTTACGGTGTTTTGCGTAACCGATGACACACCTGTGTGTAGGTTCTTTTAGCTTATTTTTAAGTTGTTTTGTTTCCCAACAGTTTTGTTGGCTTGTATAAATATCCCTCAAGTTGTAACATTTTAATTAATGCAATTTGTTACATATTTTCTTCTCAAATTCATTTACTCTCTCTCTTATTTTTCACTTCATCTTCTCCGATTATCACGTTTTCTCCATTGATTCATCAATATAGTTTGTGCGTGTTCCATCCGTTATAATGTTAATAACTGTTACATCAAAATCGAACAGTTAAAATTTAATATATATATTTGAGTTTTCAAATAATATAAGGTAAATTTTTGTCTATCCCTTGTAAAGTTGGGGATAATTTACCCCTCATAATTTATATCATTGAAATTTTGTTATATAAAATAAAATTTTAAAATTATATATTAACTAAAAAATTTAAATAATCAAAATTAAATCAAGAAAAAATATATAATTTAATCTATGAATAATAAGATATTGATACCTTAAGCATGAATAATAATTCGCATATTTGATAGAAAAGAATATGTTGAACACCATTTAAGTGAAAAGAGAGATAGACACAATATCTTAAATTTTTTTATTAATATGTAATTAAAATAATTTATTTTATGTTATAAAATTTCATTGATATTACTCATTAAAAATAAAATACCCTCAATTTTATAAAACATAGTCTAGGCTTCACCTATAATATAAAATATTAAATTTAAAATATAAGTAGTTCGGTATCGATCCAAGACAACAATAATGTGATAGTGTGAAATGAATGCACCATTTCCCTGATCGCAGCTAATTTCCGTCCAAAAAAAACGGTAGCTTCTTGAAATCATATTAAATAGAGACCAAACCCAAAAATATTAAATACAGGCCAAATTGATAATTGTTTATTCTATAGTGCTCTTTGATCCTTATCTATAAAATCTAGTCTACAAAGAAAATTTTATAACGCGCTAGATAGATCTAATTTCTAACGCTAAGCATGAATATGATGAATAATTTACTCTCATCTTCAACCCTGCCAATTACCATATGCGCTACGTTCTTGTTTCTCTACGTTCTCTTTTGGTTACGTAGAAGCAAAACTAGTACAACCGGTGTTGCACCAAAAAAAACACCACCAGAAGTCGCCGGAGCTTGGCCTTTAATCGGCCACCTCCACCTCTTGAGCGGGTCCCAGCCACCTCACGTCACGTTAGGGAAATTAGCCGACAAATACGGACCCATCTTCACCTTACGTTTGGGTGTTCATCGAACCTTAGTTGTAAGCAGTTACGAAATGGCGAAAGAGTGTTTCACAGTAAACGACAAAGCGTTTGCTTCCCGACCAAAATCTGTAGCCTTTGAAATTCTGGGGTATAATTTCTCCATGATTGGTTTCAGCCCATACGGTTCCTACTGGCGCACCATGCGCAAGATAGCGACCGTTCATGTTCTTTCAGCTCATCGGACAGAGACATTGCTGAAAGACGTGATGGAATCAGAGGTTAAGATAGCAATGAAAGAGAGTTATGAGTTTTGGGAAAAGATGAAGAATAACAAGGATAGGAATGAAAGGGCAATTACGGAAATGAAGAAATGGTTTGGGGACATAGCGATTAACGTTCTGTTTAGAACGGTGGTGGGAAAACGGTTTGACGGTGACGAGGAAGAGAATCAACGGATTAGAAAAGCGCTTAGGGGCTTGTTTGATCTTACTGGTTCGTTTGTTATCTGTGACACGTTACCGTATTTGAGATGGTTGGATTTGGATGGAAAAGAGAAGGAAATGAAGAAAACCGCGAAAGTGTTGGATGAGTTTGTTTGTGTTTGGCTTGATCAGCATAAACGGAATAGGAAACCTGCCGGCGGCGAACATGACTTCATGGATGTTCTTCTTTCCACCGTTGATGATCAAGATTTGGACGGTCGTGATTCCGACACCGCAATCAAAGCTACTTGTCTGGTATGGCTTTTTATTTTGCTCAATTAAAGAAACTTACCGATGAAGTCATATTTTTCCAAAAATGGAAATCTCATTAAAGTGAAAGTTTGTTGGCACTCTAAACCGGACTTTATTTACGAAACAAATTATTACAGAAATGATTATCACCATAGAAGTTTGTTGGCACTCTCATAGAAGAAACAAATGTTATTACCATATCTATATCAATGACTGTCTAGATCTAGATGTTCTTGGATTTTTCTTTTTCACACCATTTTGTTAGAAAATTGGACAACACATATTTCTTACAGAAATGATAATACCACAAACTCAATTTTGACACCACAGACAAATAGTCAAAAAAAGACAGCCCCTTTTAGAACACCGAACAACACGACTCATATTTAAAATTCCAAGTTATATTTCAGGATTGTTGAACTTGTCTTTACATTTCAATTTTTCAATCTGAACTAATTAAATTGGTAAAGAAGTGTAAAATTATTAAAATATTTTGCAGGCACTAATTCTAGCAGGTACAGACACTACAGCAGGAACATTAACTTGGATACTATCTTTACTTCTTAACAATCGTGAAGTACTAAGCAAAGCCACTCAGGAACTAGATGCACAAGTTGGCATGGAAAACATGGCAATAAAATCAGATTTGACAAAGTTGAAATATATTCAAGCCATTATCAAAGAAACATTACGTTTGTACCCACCAGCGCCACTCAATGTTCCACATGAGTCTATTGAAGATTGTACCGTAGGTGGGTACCACATTCCAGCTGGCACGCGTCTACTAACCAACTTTTCGAAACTTCAACGAGACCCTATGTTATACTCGGATCCGTTGGAGTTTCGACCAGAGAGATTTCTTACAACACACATGAATGTTGATGTGAAGGGACAACATTTTGAGTTGATTCCATTTGGTGTTGGTAGACGAATGTGTCCTGGAATATCATTTGCTCTTCAATTAATGCAAATAACACTTGCTACTTTATTGCATGGTTTTGATATAGTGACTTCTGATGAAGAACCTGTCGATATGGCTGAACATAACGGGCTCACTACAATCAAAGCCTCTCCTCTCCAAGTCGTTCTCACTCCACGCTTGTCTGCTCAAACTTTTAGTCAAAATTAATGTTCAACTTATAGGAATAAATAAACATGAATTTTCCTCGGTATGGTGTAGTGTGATATGCAAATACAATGGAGACTCGATTTCTAAATAATGATGTAAATTTTTCCTTCCATTTTCTCACAATATACTCTTTTCTCCAATGATTCACAATAGGTGACACTATAAAAAAATTTCCTCCAACGACATAAAATTGTGATTTAATTATCACGTGACTAAAAAAAGTTGTTGCGACGTGATAATCACGCCACTGAAACTTTTAATATTAAAAAAATAAAGATAACGTTAACATAGTAGGACTCTAAGTTTTTTATGAAATAAAAATATTTGCAACGTGAGATTCAAGTTGTAATTAAAAAGTTAATATAAAAAAGACTAATGTTATATGAAGCGAATTTTGAAAATTTTAAAAAATTCAGTTGTGACGTGATTATCACGTCGCAACATTTGAGAGAGAAAATATCTGATTGAGAATTGATTTGATTCAGAGTTGTACAGACTAAGCGAATAATATTTTTGACTGTTGGGTGTGTTGCGACGTGAATCTCACTAGGCAAGGTTGCGACGTGATTTTCACGCCGCTACTTGGCATATATACTTAACAATCTCGTTCATAGATCCATATTCTTCTCCCTTCTGTTTCTTCGTTTCCATCTCTCTTTCCATCATTTTTCCACCTTCAGTGTAAATCTTCTCCATATCTTTTTAAATTCTTCAATTTTATTGATATAGGAAATTATTTTATATAATTTAACTTCAATATACTTATATAATTTTGTTTATTGTTTATTATATTTTTAATTAAAATTTTGGTTTAATTTAATTAGTCAAAATTGAAGAACATCGAAAAGTTTAGAAAAAGATTGAAGAAGAAGATTGATTGAAAGTGATTGAAGAAGAGGTATTTATACGGTTTTAATTTTAATTTTATTTTATATATAATTTGGATTTTATTAAAAAAAACAAAAATTTATTTAATGTGTCTATATATATTAAAAATAACATTTTTTATTCATATATATATATATATATATATATATATATATATATATATATATATATATATATATATATATATATATATATATATATATATATATATATATATATATATATATATATATATATATATATATATATATATATATATATATATATATATTTTCAAAATAGTTATAAAATTTAATGATAGTTATTATAGTTAAATATTTATTTATAATTAATAAAAATGATTGTAGAAATGTGTACAATGGAATATTATCGGTATGGTCGTAGTCGGATGTACGATATATTGTATTCAGGAAGACGTGCACTTAAACCCCATTTTATAGAAGGAGTTAATGAGTTTATCACGTGGGCGTTTGCTCAGGAATATTGTTGAAGCGAAGGAGGAGTTAAGTGTCTTTGTCTTAAATGTGAATGTAGACCAATAACTAGTGACCTAGAGAAAGTAGCATGTTATTTGCATAGAAGGGGTTTCATTTAAAGTTATTGAGTTTGGACGTATAATGATGAAGAAATGTCGAGTAACGTACCAGAGACTAGCAACACGCATGCTTCAAGTAGTCGATCGCCTATGGAATATGAGGAAAACTTTAATCTGATCCGTGAGATGGTTGATGATGCTTTTGGTGTGAATGTGACATATGATCAACCTGAAGACTTTGACGGAAGCACAGAGATTTTATCAGTTGTTGAATGAGATGAATACGCTGTTGTTCGAGGGATCGTCAGACTCAAAGTTATCAATGTGTGTGAGGTTATTGGCCATCAAGTCAAATTGGAATGTTCCTGATCAGTGTTTGAAACATTTCACAAAAATGATGTTGGAATCCACCGCAATGAAGGACAACTAGCCTACAAGTTTTTATGATGCAAAGAAGTGGGTGTCGAAGTTGGTTTTAAAAGTAAGAAAGATTGATTGTTGCATTAGTGGTTACACGTTGTTTTATGGCAATGAGTTTGGTACTCAAGATGGATTGTTGGAGGAATGCAAGTTTTGTAAAAGTCCAAGATATCAAGTTTGCAATAGAGCCATTAACAGCAAGCAAAAGCGTGTAGCAGTAAAGTTTATATTTTATCTTCCGATAATTTCAAGGTTAAAAAGAATGTTTGCTTCAATGCACAGTGCAAGTCAAATGACATGACATCATATAAATCAAACAAGTTCAGGCACTATGCAACATCCATCTGATGGCGAGGCATGGAAGCACTTTGGTCGAACACATCCTGATTTTGCCATAGAACCTAGAAATGTCAGGCTTGGATTATGCTTTGATGGTTTTTCCCCATATGTGCAAGCGTCGGGAAGTGTGTATTCTTGTTGGCCAGTTATTGTAACCTCTTACAACTTCCCTCCTGAGATGTGCATTGCAAAACCATACATGTTTTTGACGTGCGTCATTCCAGGGCCGTCCAGTCCAAAAGTCGGAATTAATGTGTACTTACAACCTTTAATTGATGATTTGAAGAGGTTGTGGATTGGAGAATGGACTTATGATATATCCTGTAAATAAAACTTTACTTTGCGAGCTGCCTTAATGTGGACCATTAATGACTTTCCAACATATGGAATGTTTCCTTGTTGGGGTACGCATGACAAAATGAGTTGCCTGCATTGCATGATATACACCAAAGCGTTTACATTGGATAAACTGGGGAAAAGCTCGTGGTTTGATTGTCACCGCAGATTCCTACCAACAAATCATCCCTATAGAAGAAACAAGACAAATTTTAAAAAAGACGAACGAGTAACAGATATACCTCCGCCTCGATTGTCACCAGGTGATATATGGAATCAAGTTTGCGAACTACCAAAATTTACAGATACTGGCAAAGCATGTAAAATTGAAGGATATGGAGTCAGACACAATTGGACAAAAAAAGTATATTTTGGGACCTCCCGTATTGGAAAGATAATTTGTTGCGTCATAATCTTGATGTTATGCATATTGAGAAGAATTTTTTTGATTATATTTAACACAGTGATGGATGTTAAATACAAAACAAAAGATAATGAGAAGGTTAGACATGAGATGAAAATTTGGTGTAACCGGAAAGAGTTGGAGTTGAAGCCTCAAACGAATGAAAAACTATTAAAACCCAAGGGTTATTTTAGTCTGACTTCCCAAGAAGCTAAAGCAGTTTGTCGATGGTTAAAAGATTTGAGAATGCTAGATGGGTATTCTTCAAATTTAACAAGGTGTGTCGATGCTAACACTGGGAAGTTGTATGGTATGAAAAGTCATGATTGCCACATTTTTATAGAACAATTGCTACCAATTATGTTTAGCTCACTACCCAAACATGTGCTTAATCCACTAACTGAAATTAGTCAATTTTTTAGAAATATTTGTGCGCAACTTTAAGAGTGGATGAAAACATTAAGTTGGACCGAAACATTCCACTCATTCTCTGTAGAACGAGTATTTTTGCCTAGTTTTTTTGACTCCATGGAACATCTACCTGTGCATCTTGCATATGAAGCTTATCTTGGTGGACCTGTTCAATATAGGTAGATGTATCCGTTTGAAAGGTTCATGGGTGATTCAAAGTGACCAGTGAAAAATAAAGCTAGAGTTGAAGGATCTATATGTGCATATTACTTGCATTGGGAAACATCACATTTTTGCAGTCATTATTTCAATCATTTGATGTTAACTTCTAGAATCATACGGAATCCTATAAATGTCAATGAGAGAAGTCAATTCACCTTATCAGTCTTTGGGCTTCCAGATTGTCCCTTTGGAAAGAAGGGTATGCATTGGTTGACCCAAAAAGAAATGCAATCCACACATGTTCATGTCTCGATCAACGTCGTTGAAGTTAACCTATATCTTGAGTAAGTACACCCCAACTGTTTAATTTTCTTTGCAGTGTTAATGTAAAATTTATCATCTTGAAACTTATAGTGTGTTTATTTTTAGGAAATTTAACATCAGCTACTTTCATAGTGTCAGTGTACAATTAATATCTGGTGTCATTCATGCTCAATTTCCAGTATGGTTTAAGGAGATATTGTCTAGCATTGTTACTGGTATTCCAAGTCTTGAGATGCCTAACAAACTTTGTGAAGGTTGTTTAGTAGGAAAGAAATCCAAAAATTCTTTTATTTCAACTATGCCAATGAGATCATCACGCATACTTGAAGTGGTACATTCAGATATATGTGGTCCGTTTGAAGAACATACCATTGGTAGAAACAAATATTTTGTTTCGTTTGTCGATGAGTTTAGTCAAAAGTTATGGATCTATATGATTAAGAGAAAATACAAAGTATTGAAAATCTTTAAGAGATTCAAGATGCTTGTCGAAAACTAGAGTAAGAAGAGGATCAAAGTTTTGAGAATATATGGAGGTGGTGAATACACTTCAAAGATGTTTGAAAAATTCTGTGTAGAATATAGTGTTAATCATGAGGTAACTGCTCCTTATACACCTCAACATAATGGAATTACAGAAAGAAGAAACATAACCATATTGGATATGACGAGATGCATGCTAAAATAGTAGAATTTGCCAAAGTCCTTATGGGGAGAACAAGTTTCGACTGCAGTTTATATCCTAAACAAGTTCCCTACCAAGATATTCAAGAACAAGGTTTCTGAAGAAGTATGGAGTGGTAAACGTCTATCAGTGAGTTATTTGAAGGTGTTTGGCTCTATATATTACAAACACGTTCCTAATGCAAGAAGAAGGAAGATTGATGACAAGAGTGAACCCATGATTCTGGTAGGATATCACAAGACTGGTGCAAAACGACTATTCAATCCAGTTAATGAGAAGATTGTGTTGAGTTGAGATATTGTGATTGATGAAAATTCTGCATAGGATTGGAATTCTAGTAATTTAATTAACAAGTCGTTGATGAGCTCCGATTTTGATGAAGAAACTGATGAAGTCAAAGTCGAAGTAAAAGCAGATGATGACATTCCGGAAACAGTCAAAGTAGAAGAGGTTGTGGCTGAAACAAACCAAAGACCTCAAAGAAATGGAGTTCTTCC